CCTTCTGGTTAGCAGTCAAGTGCCTTAGGCACTGTGCTACCAGAGCTCCTTTTTGGTATATATATGTGTGTATATATATATATATAGATAGATATATTATACATACATACACACACACACACATATGTGTGTGTGTCTGTGTGTCTGTGTGTGTATATTCCAGAGTTTATAGTCATTATTGGCAGAGAGTTGTCCAATGGGAGCAACTTAGCTATTACTGAAAACAGTAATCATTGTCATAGTATGGTTTTTTAATTGTGGAAAAATACTACGGATTCTTATTAATATTCTGTATCAGTTTCAGAAGTTTCTTTCTATTTTAAATCTACTAAGAGTTTTTATAGGAGCTCTGGTAGCATAGTGCCTAAGGCATTTGACTGCTAACTAGAAGGCTGGCGATTCAAACCCACCAGCCACTCCTCGGAAGGAAGGTTGGGCAATCTACTCCCATAGTGATACTGCCTCAGCAACCCAAGGAGGGGTTGCTACAAGTCAGGTCCAACTCAACGGCACATAACAACACAACAAGAGTTTTTATAATGGATTTATATTGAATTTTATCAAATGACTCATCTGTATCTATCCTTCTCCACCCACTTCTGCTATCCTGGGGAAATCATTGGCCTCAGGACACCTAGTACTAGACTTTTCTAGCTCTTGCCCCACCCACTCAAGGAAGGTATTGTGTTTCCCAAGAAGATAGTTAAGAGGGAGAAGGAAGTTTCCATCTTTAAAAAATTCTTCAAAATATTGAATATTGGCACTCTCTTTTGTTTTCCTGCTTGATTTGTTATGGGTTTTATGGGTTTGTACTTTGGGGTACACGTTCAATTCCATCAACTCAGTAGATTTTGGAAAAGAGATGAAACACATTCATTATTTGAGCCAGAAGTCAGAAGGTACTATTATTATTTCCATTACTAAAACAAAGAAATGGAGGATTGGAGAGGTCATGCCACCTGCCTTCCATCACAACCTAAGCACAAGGCAGAGCCAGAATTTAAACCCAGTGATGCTAGAGGTCGCTTAGAAAATAGAATACAAGTTGGAAGTGCATGGCAAGTGAGATTGCAAAAGTAAACTGGGGAAATATTGGGTAGGGCCTTGAATGCTAAGATATGAAGTTTTTAGTCTTTCATAAAACACCTTTTATTGAATACCAGAGGCTGAGCTAAAGATACAAAGATGAATAAGACACAGTGCCTGAGCTTGAGGCTTCCAGTGTCCAAAATACCAACATACAAAGACAGATCACAAGTATGTAAAGAGACAGTGTAGCTGTGCTGTCACAACAGTTTGAACAAAGAATTACAGAAGTGCTGCATCTGATTAATTAGTTTACAGTCATGGTAACTAATGACCAAGGATGGTCAGACATTCTGAGCCAGTGCTGAACTTTCTAGACATCCCTTCACATTGACAAGCTCCATAGGAACTTACAGTGTTTTGGAAAATTAGAAACAAGCTTTCTCCAAAGGCTTAGAATCTGAAGGGTTATTTTCAGTCATTAGAGCACCAGTGGAGAGTGTGTGTCCACATGAACATGTTGATGTTGCTTGCCATCGAGTTTATTCTGACTCATGGAGACCCCATGTGTGTCAAAGTAAGGCTTCTCTATAGGGTTTCCTTGGCTTTATAATGGAAGCAGGTCACCAAGCCTTTTCTCCCACAGTACTGCTGGGTGAGTTCAAACCAACCTTTAGGTTAGCAGTCGGGTATAAACGGAGCTACCTAGTCAGGGTGATCATTCTTTATCTTTGAGATAAAGTGTTTTAATAAAATTCTTCACCTGTGATATTTCAGTTCTGTGTTAAAATGTCTACTGTTGAGGGAATCTGTACATCGGGAAGTGCAACCATTGGTGATCAGAGGACAAAGCACCCTAGATGTGTGTTTCAGAAGGTGGAGGGCTCCTCCAGTCACTTTGTGACCTTCAGCGTGCTTCCTCTGGAAATAGGCCTCCACAACATCAACTTTACCCTGGAGACATCACTGGGAAAAGAAATCTTAGTAAAAACATTACGTGTGGTGGTAAGAAAAACTTGCTTTTTCTAATTCCTTCTCATAACATTGTTTTCATTCTGGAAAGAAAAAATTAATGTTATCAGCAACATGTTCTTAAATGGTTCAGAAAGAGACACACAGAGAAAATGATAAAGCAAATGTAGTATAATGTTAGCTACTATGGGTGGAAGTCACAGTTTTTGTACTATTCTTAACGACTTTTCAATAAGTGTGAAATTTTGTAGAAAAAAATTAAAAATAATTCTTGCTTATTTTGGAAAATATGGAAATATTAAAAAACCACAGAGAAGAAAAGAAATAAACTCACCAATAATGTCCACATCCTGAGATACCCAATTTTATAACCTTCCAGGGTTTCTTTCCCCCTCCCCCAACACATTCAGAAAGTATGTCTTGAGAATCTCTGTGATTATGAGATTATGCGATTAAGAGGTTATGTGAGGTACTAGAAATACAGCAATAAATAAGACACGGCCTTTGCATTTAAAGAACTTATAGTCTAGACAATTTTCCATTTTATAAATGAATGAACATGTCAGGAAAAAAGAAGAGAACTCATTTATCTATTGAATACTCTTTATCCACATTTGGTTAAGTGCTTTTGTTACCTTATTAAGAAAGGTTAAATGACTTACAAAGAGTCACATGACTAGTTAATGACAGAGCTGGAATTTCCTAATTCTTCATTCTTTAAGTTCTGTTTATAGCCATTGAATTCACTTCTGTAAACAGGTATTGACTCTTTCTGTGTAAGACACACCCTCATGCATCCTGGCACTGTGGTTCTTTTTGTCCACAAGCTCTGGAGCCAGGCTACGTGTTTCAATCAGGGCTTTGACCACTTTGACCCCCTGCTGAGAATTTGCATTTCCATCCCAGGTATACTGAATCAGAGTCTACATTTTTAACAAGATCCTACTGATTCTTATAGATCTTCAGGTAATTCTTATGTATACTTCTTGTTAAAATGTAGATTCTGATTCAGTATACCCCGGGTGGAAATGCAAATTTTCATCAAGGGTTGAACCAGAATGAACCATTTAAAGCCCTGGTTTAAATCCTGGCTTTGCCACTTCCTACCACAGTGTAAGGAGTTCTGGTAGCATAGTGCCTAAGGCACTTGATTGCTAACCAGAAGGCTGGCGGTTCAAACCCACCAGCCACTCCTTGGAAGGAAGGTTGGGCAATCTACTTCAGTAGGGATACCACCTTGGAAACCCAAGGAGGGGTTGCTGTGAGTCAGGTCCAACTCGAAGGCACAACAACAACCACAGTGTGAGATTGGACAATCTACTTCCATAGAGATACTGCCTCAGAAGCCCAAGGAGGGGTCGCTATGAGTGGGATCGACTTGAGGACAGTGGGTTTTTTTGGTTTACCACAGTATGACACTGGATAAATTTTTTTTATCTTTCTGTGTGTCAGTTTCCTTATCTGTCAAATGAGTGATAATAGTACTAACCTCTTAGGTTTGTTTTGAGGTTAAACATATACAAAGTACTTAGACCAATTACCTGGCACATAATAACGTCTATACAAATGTTTTCTCTTATTACTATACAGATAGCCAGAAATGTTATTCCTGCATGTAGGTATATAAGTGTTTATACAAACTTTGCCTTTCCCAAAGAAAGGGGTTTTTTAATTGGAAAAATGGTCAAGAAAATTTGATCCAAGGACTTCAGGTTATATAAATGTAAGTAACTTAATGTGTTCCACCTTTATTTTAGCCAGAAGGTGTCAAAAGGGAAAGTCATGCTGGCATTACTCTGGACCCAAAGGGTATTTATGGTAGGCAAAATGATTTTGTATTTTATATGCTGCCTTTTGCTTTGGAAATTAAAGTGTACATGTAACTGAAACACAATTTTTCAAAATGTTAGTTATCTAAAATTAGAAATTTTCATGTCTTAGTTCATTGCCATTCTTCATAGCATTTGTTGTACCATAATTTGGATGATTTGAAACAAAGAATAATTTCATTAATTTTAAATGCAAAACATTGAAGAATTAATAATTGCATGACTTCCTTTATATATCAATCGCTTTTCTCCATCACAATAATAATTTATAATACGTTCATATAAAACCATGAGTCCAAAGAACACACAAGGAAAAGTCATTCACATAATTTTTTAACATGCATTACTTAAAAACACAGTAGAACTGATTATTCACTTAACAAATTGTCCTCTTTGCTCTACTTCCCTGCTTTTACTTCAATAGAGGTATTCTGAATCATCTCAAATTTGAATTTTGCAAACATTTGAGTGCTGAATCAAAGCCTACATATTTACATATTTATGTAATTTAGTCAGTTATGACTAAATTTATGAATGTATGAAATACAGTCAATGAAAATGACTACATTTATGAATGTAATCAGTTAACTACAGGACTGTAAACTGGTTTATTCCAGTTTGACCCTCTGCTAAGACTTTGCATTTTCACTCCAGAAATACTGACTCAAAAGCTACATGTTAACAAGATACCCCAGTGACTCTTTTGAATACATAAGAATCATCTGGGAATTAAAAATAATCTGCAAGTGGATACATGGGTAGACATGGAAACTGAATAGGTGTGGAAAGGCAAATGGGACTGTACCCCCATAGGTCAGGCAGAGGAGAATTCGACATATGTATTTGTATTGCTGTAAATACATCTGTGTATATAGTAGAACATACAGGGGACAGAGTTATGAAAACATCTTAGCTATAACCAAATACCTTGAGGACATGAGTCACTGGGTTTAGAGGCTTAGGATCATAGTCTTGGGGGAAATCTAGGTCAATTGGCATAACATAGCCAACAGAGATAACGTTCTACCTCCTACTTTGGTGAGAAGCAACTGGGGTCTTAAAAGTTTGCGAGTGGCCATCTTAGATGCAACTATTGGTCTCTCCTGTCCAGAGCAAAGAGTGAAGAAAATCAAAGATTCTGGGAAACAATTAGTCCAGATAACTAATGGACCACATGAACCTCAGCTTCCACTACCCCGAGACCAGAAGAACAAGATGGTACCCAGTTACCAGTACCGACCACTCTGAGTGTGATCTAAAATAGAAGGTCCTGAACAGAGTGGGAGAAAAATGTGGAACAAAACTCAAAATCCTGAAAAATACCACACTTTCTGGTCTGTTAGAAACTGGTGGGACCCCCTAGACTATGGCCCTTAGATATCCTTCAAACATGGAATTGAATCCAATCCCAGAGATAACCTTTCAGCCAAACAATAGATAGGTGTATAAAGTGAACAGTAATACCCATGAGGGCAGCATTTGTCCAAAACCAAAGCTTAGAAGTCAGGAATGGACAGGCAAGATTAGTGAGTGTCAATGGGACACCTAGGAGGACGCGGGAAGAGTGCTGTTACGTTGAGGGAGCTGCCACCAATGTCACAGAACAAAATGTGTATAAATTGTTGAATGGGAAATTAATTTGCTCTGTAAACTTTCACCTAAACCAAAATTTAAAAAGAATCACCTGGGAATCTTACTAAAATATAGATTCTGATTCAATATATCTGTGGTGGAAATGTAAAATTTCCACAGGAGGTCAAACTGGAATTAACCTGCTCAAAGTTCTGGTTAACAATTCTTTTCTTTTCATCAAAAGAAGACTTCTAGTTCTTCTTAGCTCTGGTAGTGTACTGGTTAAGCCATTTGGCTGCTAGCAAAAAGATCGGTGGTTTAAGCCCACCAGCCAGCCACTCTGTGGAAGAAAGATGAGGCAGTCTACTTCCATAAAGATTTACAGTCTTAGAAACCCAGTGGAGGTCGTTATGGTTGGAATCAACTCAGTGGCAGTGAGTTTGGTTTGGGGTTTGGTGGTTCTTCTCAAGTGGTCAATTTTTTTTTCACTGTTGTATCAAATCATTTTTCTTTCCTTTCAGTGATGTAGCAATGGGGAAGAAAATTACTTACAAATCAAGACCACTATAACCAGAATAAGGAGCCTTAGTGGTGCAGTGGTTTAAGAGCTCAGCTGCGTTTACAAAAGCTCTGTGCTTTGAACCCACCAGGGGCTTCACAGGAGAGAAGAGCTGACAATCTGCTCCCATAAAGATAGTTGTTGTTGTTGTTATGTGCCGTCGAGTCGGACCTGACTCATAGCGACCCCTCCTTGGGTTTCTGAGGCCGTATCACTAAGGAAGTAGATTGCCCCATCTTCCTTCCGATGATTAGAGGCTAGGAAACCACAAGGGGCCTGTAGCTGTGGGTTGCAATTGACAGCCCACAGTAGTAACAATCAACTCAAAGTTTCAGAGTGCCATTTCCTCTGGGAAAGCACAGAATTAAGACTACGTGTTACATCAATGGACATCAAAAACTAAAAAGGATGTCTTCAGTAGAATAACAGAAAAAACAAATCCATATTCATCTGCTAACTTCTTTCTGTAAGTTTATTTTCACACAGATCTCATCTCAGCCTGACCATTGTGCATGATTTATGGGGTAGAGATATTACAAGTTTCGAGGGGTTTTGCCTCATGGAGTAATTTTCAGCCTCCAAGGGCCATTGTGTCCTTTGGTTTCTCTTCCTTTTCACCACTTTTGCCTCCTCTGGCGGTTCAAACCCACCAGCCACTCCTCGGAAGGACGGTTGGGCAATCCTACTTCCGTAGTGATACTGCCTCGGAAACCCAAGGAGGGGTCGCTATGAGTCGGGGCCGACTCGACGGCACACAACAACAACTGTGTTGCAAACAGCTTTTCAGAACAGCTGTCTTACTCATCCTAAGTATGAACATCACAGCCCAAAGATGGGAATTATTTTTTATCTGGAAACAAATCTCTGTGAAAATCTTGGTAGAAAAAAAAAAAATCTGTGTCTCTTTCCAATCTTGTATGACTTTTTTTTCCTCCTTATCTTTTTAGGCAACTTTGTTATTTCCTAGAAAGCTAAATAGGGTAAAGGTGACAGTTCTTCCCAGGTTATTTCAGATGGATCTCTGGTAGCATAGTGGCTAAGACACTTGCCTGCTAACCAGACGGCTGGCGGTTCAAACCCACCAGCCACTCCTCGGAAGGAAGGTTGGGCAATCCTACTTCCGTAGTGATACTGCCTCGGAAACCCAAGGAGGGGTCGCTATGAGTCGGGGCCGACTCGACGGCACATAACAACAACAGTATGATACTTTATCAAATTCAATTAGAAAACAAAACAAAACTAAGATATATTTGGAAAAGTAAATGGACAATCATGTTTAAGGAAATCTGAAAAAAGAAATCAGTGAGAAAGGATGAGACATTAGAACAAACTGTAAAGCAAATAATAATTACAGTTGTGTGACTCAGCTTAAAAAGAGATGAAACACAGATGCTCAATACCCAATCAGGCTCTAGTCCTTAGTTTCTGCTTTCTTGCACCCACAAGCCCCTTCTCCCTGGATTCTTTTCGTTTCTCAGATACAGAGGTAAAAAGCTCCTCACACCCCAGTTCCTGGCACACCATCATCACTGGTCTAGGCAGGCGCTTTTCTTGTTTTATTTTCCTCTTTCATCCCTGATCCCCACTCCTATTCTCTTTCCTTCAAATGCATCCACTCAAATGTGTCTGACATACATCTTTGAGTAGGGAGGTAATATTCTTTTGTATATGTCTTTTTAACATACATAAAACGTATTGTGCTATATCTTGTTTTGTTTGTTGCTTTTTAAACTCAATACTCTAATTTTAAGAACTCTATTTCTCTATATACATTTAATTTATTGCTTCATATATAGTACTCCAGAGTATGATTCCACCACAATCGTACTTATCAGTCCCCAGTGATGACGTCTCCACTACCATTACAATGCTGCAGTGAACATCCTTACAGACCTGTGTGAGCCCTCGTGCAGGAGTGGGACTGCTGAGTCACAGAGCGTGCGCGTCTTTAATGTCCTTTACTTCTGTCCTGCTGCCCTCCAGAATGGCCATTTATTTCTGTCCTGCTGCCCTCCAGAATGGCTGTGCTGCCTGCACCTCCCAGCACTGCAGGAGGGTTCTCAGCTTCCCACATCCTCACCAGCATGACTCACCTCTCGAAAAAAAAGTTCATTTTGATGGGTATAAAGTAGTATTTCATTATTTTTTAATTTGTATTCTTCTGATTACTAGTGATTTTAAGTATTTCTTCATATACTTGTTGGCCTTTTAGGCTTTCTTGTCTGTGAATTGTCTGTTCATATCTTTTGTACCTTTTTTCTATTTTCCATTTGAATTTTCTTGTCTATTTCTTGTTGATTTTTGTCTCTGGTGAGTAACAAATCTGTCATAAGTTCATCTTATGGTTATGTATTTTGGGGTTAATCTTTAAGAAGTCTTTTCCCCACCCTCAGTTAACAGAGATATTCTTCACATTTTATCCCATTGATTTTACAGTTTTAACTTGTAATTGTTTTAATCTTTATGGGGTCTACCTTTCTGTGTGATACCCTAATGGACCTTTTACCATGATCTCTGGCAAGAAGTAAAACTGGTATTTCTTGGTTTTAGCCTTTCTCTTCTAAAACTTTTCATCTGGTACTGGGATTATTAAAAGGAATCGGAATACTCAAGAGCAAGTATCAAGGAAGAAAGGGGTAGAGGATCAAATTTAGATTGTCTGAAGCAACTTGTGTGCAGTAAATATTATTTAATATTTATATACTTATTTTTATTTCATACTTATATTTAATACTGATGTTAAACAAGAACTGTTTGCCAAACTCTTTGTCTATGTTATCTTTATGCTCACAAAGACTCTTTGAGAAAAATATTACTTCATTTAATTGATGAACTGACTGAGACATAGAAAGGTTAAGCGTCTTGCCCAGTGTCGGTCCAGTTGTGCTGGTAAGCTCCTTCTGAACTCTGTGCTCTTTTAAACACATTATAAACCTCTTACATGTCTTCACTGAGTTTTATTTTAATGTTATATCCTTGGCATTTATCAAGGGTTAATGAAGAAAGAAGTTACATGAGAAACATTCCTGCATCTTCTACAAAGTCATATGGTTTGTGCATTAAATTGCAAAATGGCTTTCATTTTTTAGCATATGCCTTGTGCCAGGAATTGTGCTAAATGCTGGGACTACGATGTTGAATAAGAGATGGCCCCTGTCCTCAAAAAGCCTGCTTAGCAGGATGATGAGCAGTAGACTGTTTTTGGGGTTAATATTATGAGCCCTACGGTAAAACTTCCCACATTCAGAGTGCAGCTCCACCCTTGCTAGCTCTGTGACTTTGAGCAAGTTGCTTTCTAAGCCCCAGTTTTCCCACCTATAAAACTATGAAGATAATAATAATGTTGTTGTTGTTGTTATGTGCCGTCAAGTCGGACCCGACTCATAGCGACCCCTCCTTGGGTTTCCAAGGCAGTATCACTACGGAAGTAGATTGTCCCATCTTCCTTACAATGTGGCTGATGGGTTTGAACCAAAAGACCTAGCATATAGGGATGTTGTGAGGAACCGGTGTAATACATTTAAAGTGCTTAGCAAAGTGCCAGATGTGTTAAGAAAATTATAGATGTCATCATTTTTTTTATTAAGTAAGTTAGTGATGACAGTGGAAAAAATCCTCTGGTACAGATGTGCAAAAATTATGTGGTTGTGAGCATAGACGAGAAACTGTCTAAATTACACTGGCAGTGGAAAGTGGGAAGAGATTTAGGGCATACTTCCCAATGGAGCTAATCTTCATATATCCTTGACTAAAGAGTTACAGGAAGCTGGGTGGCACAAGTGGTTTGTGACTGGCTACCAGCCTAAAAGTTGGTACTCAAACCTACTTGGCTTCACAGAAGAAAGGGCTGGCAAACTACTTCCTACAGATTACAGCCAAAATATCAGTAATAAACAATAATCTATAACTGGATACATAGGCAGACAGTCAAGCTGAGCAGGTATGTGTAGGTGAATGGGACTACACTCATGACCATATATAGATTAAAAAAAAAATTCCATTGCCATCATGTCAATCCGACTCATAGTGACCCTGTAAGACAAAGCAGAACTGCCTCCATAGAGTTTATAAAGCTATAAATCTTCTTCTTCTTCTTCTTCTTCTTCTTCTTCTTCTTCTTCTGCTTTTTGTAATAAATTTTATTGTGATTTAGGTGAAAGTTTACAGAGCAAATTTATCTTCCATACAGCAGTTCACATACACTTTATCTCATGACATTGACTGTAATCTCCCACAATGCAAAAGCTTTCCTCCCACTTCCTCCCCATAGTCTTCCCTGTGACCTTCCCTTCCATGCACTCCTGCCCCCTAATAAGTCTGTAAATCTTAACAGAAGCAGACTGCCTCATCTTTCCTCTGCTGAGTGGCTGGTGGGTATGAACTGCCAACCTTTTAGTTAGAAGCTGAATGTCTTAGCCACTGCAACACCAGAGTTCCTATATATAAGTTTGGCAGAGGATATTTCTACAAAAATATTTCTATATGCTATAAATATATCCCTGTAGAGCAGGTATAGTGCCTAAGGCATTTGACTGCTAACTAGAAGGCTGGCAGTTCAAACCCACCAGCCACTTCTTGGAAGGAAGATGGGGCAATCTACTTCTACAGTGATACCGCCTCGGAAACCCAAGTAGGGGTTGCTATGAGTTGGATCCAACTCAACAGCAGTGATTTTGGTTTTGGTTTGATATAATAGAGCAGTGAGAAGTCAAAGTTATGAAAACTTCTTAGCCATAACCAAACACCTTGAGGTAATGAGTCTGGGCTTGGGGGCTAGGATCACAGTCTCAGGGAACGGTTAAATCAGTTGGTATAACATAGTTCACAAAGACAACGTTTTGTATCCAACTACGGAGAGTATTGACTGGGGTTTTAAAAGCTAGCAAGTGGTCATCTAAGGTACTTGGTCTTTCCCCATCTGAAGCAAAGAAGAGGGACATGGAAACACAACCATAGGAGATCAAAAGGGCAGCATTTGCCTAGAGACAAAGCTGAGGAGGTAGGAAGGGATAGGAAAGAAGGATGAATGTATGTGGGAAACACAGGGAGAAAGCAGGAAGAGTGCTGCCACATTGTAGCGGTTGCAGTCATTGTCACAAAAAATGTGAATGAATTATTGAGTGGAAAACCAATTTGCTCTGTAAATTTTCACTCAAGTCACAACAAAAGCTAAAGAAAGAAAGAAGATTACAGCCAAGAAAACCCTAAGGAACAGTTCTTCTCTGTAACACATGGGGTCCCTATGAGTCAGGGGTTGCTATGGGTCGGGAGGCTTTTGGCAGCTAACAACGAAGAGCTGCATGTTAGTTATTTTTAGATTCTCATTCCAAGAATAATGCTGTCTCCTTGGGCAATAACAGGCACACTTTTACTGGTGAATAACAATTATATAACCTATTTATTCCCTTTCTTGTGATGACCAAGAAATTTATAGCCAAATTTTATGTTTTATTTAATGAGATTGTATAAACCTACGGTTTGTTAAAAATCCTCAGTGATATTTAACTTCCTTTTCTTAAATTATATATTTATTCATTTATTCTTTAACTTTCTTTTCAAAGCTTAATAGTGTTATTATAAAAGTCTTTTATTTTAAAACATTCATTGGAAGTAGGTACGTTATAAATAATCTGCAAAGTATATAGTCCTCCCCTGAGAACTCTATAAATCCAATAAAATTTTTAATTTCAGGTGTTGTTAGCAGACGAAAAGAATTCCCATTCAGGATGCCCTTAGATTTGGTTCCCAAGACAAAAGTCAAAAGGATTGTGAGTGTAAAAGGTAAAGTAACCATTTATATTGCATACTTTACTTTCTGTTTCAAACAAAACTCAAACACACTCTTTAATTTTTCTACTTCTCTGCCTCCCTGCTCAGTAGCACACAAAAATTCACTTCTTTGAGGACACTACCTCCATCCCCTATCTTCAAGCCCCCACCACTTTTCCAACTATTCTCCTCTATAATCTGGAGGTTTGTTCTTCTGTGATAGAGTGGGGCTGCCAATGACCCAAAGACTTTTCTAAAATAGATGATGCAGCTGCTTCGAGATTTAAAGAACATTCCACGGTCTTAGTGGCCAGTCCTGCTCCAAAGAAGGCTTTATGACCTATAAATGGCCCCATGAGAGCAGCACTGCTGTGCTTAAATACCAGTCCCAGAGAGGTCTCTCCCCTCCAGTATAGTTACAGGAGTGTTTCTTTGGTGGGTTTTCCTTGAACTCCAGCTTTTATAATGTAGTAACTTATCATCAAAATGATAGAATATTCTGACTGCATTTTATCTCAGATGAAACATTGGAGTCACAGAATGTTAGTGCTGTAGGGTACCTTCCGGATCATGTGCAGCCCTGTTGTAGATACAAGAAAGTGACTTGCCAGAGATCAAACAGTAAGTCCTAGACAGAGCCATCACAGCACTCCCAGTTCAGGCTCTTTGCTTTGCTTTGTGCAGAAGAGTCATTCATATGTTTTACAGTGTGTTCAGGTATCAAGTTGAATGGCCACCAATTGGCTATATCTTCTGTGTAGCAATCTGTCTTGTCTACTCTATTATACAATCTTATCACCATATTGCATAGATATTTTAAAGCCTTTTTTTGGTGTTTCTTTTAAATTCATGTTCCTAACCAGTTCTTTTTTTTTTTTTTTTTTCCTTGCCATTGTTCTGAGAACTAATTCAACCCTAGATAAGAATGGAAGGATATAGATGAATAGGCTTCCCTCTTTAGAATATACTGTGCCTCAGTCAAAAGTTGATGGAAAGTGATTGTGTCTACTCTGGTTTTGTTTTTGTTACAGGACTACTTGTAGGTGAGGTCATGTCTGCAGTTCTGAGTCAGGAAGGCATCGACATCCTAACCCACCTCCCTAAGGGGAGTGCAGAGGCTGAGTTGATGAGCATTGTCCCAGTATTCTATGTCTTTCATTACCTGGAAACAGGAAATTATTGG